CAAAACACGTTGCATCTTTTTGTATCTTTATCTTGCTGAATACATCAAGTGTAAAGCACAAAAAGTAACAGTTTTTCCTACTTCAAAATGCGTAAAAATATTTTTCCACGAGGAGAGTACAACACAGACTGTAATAGATATAAAAGTTAATTCTATACCAAATGAAAGCTCGTCAAAAACTGGATTTAGAAGTATAACTGATCATTCATAAGATGAAGATGAACTATCAAATATAAAAAGTTTCAAAAGTTTTATGAATATAACTGGTCACTTTCACGAATACAGTCGATCAAAAAATCATAAAATTCTCAGAATTGTTTTTTTTGTCTATTGAACTTTGTAGAGCTCTCTTCGTTGATCATTTTGATAAAAAAAAAACTTTTAAATTTCATGAACGAGTAACAATACTAAAATCAAAATACTGAAAATCTGAAAACTACTCTGACTGGTAGAAGGGAACTCTACATTTGATAGTTCATTTCCGTCTTATGAATAATCAGTTATACTTCTAAATCCGGTTTTTGGCGAGCTTCCATTTGGTATAGAATTAACTTTTATATCTATTACGGTCTATGTTGTACTCCCATCGTGGAAAAATATTTTTTACGCATTTTGAAGTAGGAAAAAATGTTACTTTTTTTTCTGATACACTTTTTGTGCTTTATACTTGATGCATTATTCAAGTTGAATATATAAAAAAATGCAGCGTGTTCTGCTCTTTCTCATTGTGTATAATACATTTAAAAAAATATGGTAATAGGAACAGAAAAATAAAGCAAAGAGAGGTAATTATATCGAGGTTCGCAATACATCTATGCATAGTTATGGATTGATAAAAGCAATTCTATTGTTAAAGATTTACTTGTGTTAAATAGAAAACTTATGCTAAAGCATAAATTCTATTGTAATTAATCTTACTATGTAAAAAAATAATGAAAGAAATATTGCAACTAGAACAACGATAAATTTCACTGACTTATTTTCTTTTAATGTAGAAACTTAAGCTATATCAGTAGTTTTGAGGCCAAAAAAGAACCAAATCGATCGTTTGAAACTATCTCATCGATTACTATAAGTAATTGCAAATATGTGTGAGTTGAAGAGGTAAAGTAGCTAAATGTCGAAAGGAAAATGCCGAAAGTGAAAATGTCAAAAAAAAAATGTCGAAAGGCAGGACGCCGAACAGAAAAATGCCGAAAGTTGTTAATGTAGAAAAACAAAATGCCGAAAATGAAAATGTCGAAATTAATGACGCCGAAAACAGTAATAGTGCATATTTAGCCGTCTACTTTGTTGATGAAATCTAGGCAAAGAAAAGTACAAATCAAACCTATTCAAAAACTGAACAAATAAATAAACATTACATGGATAAATTAAGGCTTTAAATACCATCACCTCGAATTCAGAACTCTTTTTTAAGCATTTTGATTTTTGAGTAACTTGCGAACGCGAAAAAGATATCAAGACGACGTTTTTCTTACAATAATACGATAGTTGTGAGCATATATTTATGCGAAAATTCTAACTCCATTGGAAGCATTATCTTAGGCGGTGACTCCCTCCTTTCCGACACTTGTGGAGAATGACTCATCAGAATAATTTGAAACTTCCAGAGTAAATAGATCCCAATGAGTAGAGAAAAATTTGCCATGACTCCACTTTCCTAAATGCTTCCTTATAGGAGATATTGGGTCCCAAAAGCTAAAAATCGCCATGTCTTCTCGGTAGTAGTATGCCCGATAGAGCTGAATTTTTTTCTTACCGATACTAGCCACCGTTGGGAGGTCCTTCTCTTTTGGTTTCTTTTTATCTCCTTCTGTTCGAGTAAAAACATCAAAATTCTGAGAGCATCCTCAAAAACTCTGAACAAATCGTATTTTTTGACTAGAGCTTTTATGTGAATCCTGACAAAAACCGCGGTACATCATATTTTGAAACAAAAAAGTAAGTATCCTAAACACTTTCTACTATTAATAGAAAAGGTTTCGGCTTGGTTGGATGTACTATGCTGGAGAAACGAGGGAATTCTCCTTTTTTTTTTTATCAAAAAATTCGTTTTTCATAAAAAGCACAGTAAAGTGAAAATTTTGATATTTTTCAGCGAAAATCTTCCATCTTCTCAGGGCTGTCGACTTTTTGTACATACATATTAATTCCTGAAATATGCCCAGTACATAGAGGATAACTTGAATCATATATAAAGCACAAAAATACAAAAAGTGAAGTTTTTGAATTTTGAGTCGAAAAGAGGATCTCCTCTTAACAAGCTTGATGACTCTTTGAAAAACCCCCTTGAAAAAAGTGTCCTTTATTCAGGACGCTGATACTTAAAGGATTAAGATACCAAAAGTTGATGATAAAGCAGATGCCCCAATGTATCGTCAGTGAATAGAAATTTGTTCAATGACATTTTTCATAGTCCTTCCTTCAGATTTTTCTTTTCGCCATTTTTTATTTCGACGTCCTTCTTTTCGACAATCTGATTTTCGCCATTTTTACCTTTCAACATTTTCATTTTCGCCATTTTTCTTTCGACATTTTCACTTTCGACATTTTTCTTTTCGGCAATCTGCTTTTCTACGTCCTGTTTTTCGACATTTTGTCTTTCGACGTTTTCCCTTTCGACATTTAACCACCTATTCTAATTTTGTATAGATATACTTACGATATATATATATATATCGTTCGGATGAGCATAAATAAAAAAAAATAGTAAATTATTTATTTAAATAAATACTTAAATAGAATGCATTGTTCACATAAATCTAGATAAAAGAAAATTATTTATTTAAATAGATAAATATTTTACTCTGAAGCTTGTTATAGAGAAAAATCTAGATAAAACAAAATATTCTTTAATTTTTTCAGTTAAAATTTACAATTAAATATATCGTTGAGATAAATTTAAAGGCAACAAAAATTTTTACTCAAATAGATTTTTATCTGGAACTTATTGCTAATATAACTCTATGTAAACAGATATTGTTTAATTTTTTATACTGATACTTATGGTTTCATATATTGTTGGGATGAATCTAGATAAATAAAAAAAGAGTTTATTTATTCGAATATATGGAACTCGATGTTGATAACAATCGAAAAGAAAATTATTGTTTAATTTTTAAAATTTGTACTTACGATTGAACGTATCGTTGAGATAAGTCTAAATAAAAAGAAATATTATATTATATTATATTATTATTTTATACTTACCATGTAATCTGGGGTTGAGATAAATCTTAGTAGAGAAATATAATTTCATTTTTCTTTATTGATTACTTACCATTGAACTTGATATTGAGAGAAATCTGAATAAGAAAAATAGTTATTTTCTTTTTTTTTATAATATTGATCTTTGAATTTGATGTTGGATTCAAAATTAAGTCTTGATCAAGATAGGCATCTGAACTAGCGATGTCGAGATTAATTCTCAAAAATATTTCTTCTTTGAGAATACACGTAGGAAAGAGTAACCTTTATCATGCACAGTACTTATATCTATGAGAAGATACGACGGATGAATGACAAAAACTATACATTTCTGTTTCTTGATTCCTTAGTAGGGTAAATATTGACTACTGTGAAGCATGACACACAGATATTTGTTAGCATTGTATTTGATAGCTTCGGATAGAGCTTGATAAAAGCTATCAATTGATGCGTAAGAGAGCTCAAACTAGATACTAGCGGCTTCCATAAACACAAAACAGAAAAAAACCTTTTTATTGGGCAAAATCGTTGAAGAAGCTACAATCATGATAAAGTAGTTCGTAGGAACATTCTATCGTAGTACGCTAGGTGATATTGAATGAAACTCATAATAAGCTACTGGTTATATACTATTACATAGTATTCAAATATAGATGTGACATATTTTAACGATACAGTGTAATTACGGTACGCATACAAGGCATATATGTAGTGATGTAGTTGATCACTGTGATGAATTCTGAGATACTATATTGTATCCAATATTTAAGTTACTATATGGTTTCATCTGAGAGCGTATAACTCGGTTGGTGAAAGATTTTTAGAGAATAATCGATAAACAGGGTATCAACGCTCCCGACTATGCCACCGTAAACTGAATTCTCTAAACAGCTCCGTGAGCATTCCGTAATTCATAACCACTCTTGCCGTAAACGAATGTTTGTCAACGACAATCTACAGACCACTATAAAGACATCGCTATTTATTTTCATTATATGTTCTAGATAGACTTGATACATTCTGTTCTAGAAACCATGAACCAATATGAAATCACTTAACAAACTAAACTTATTGTATAGGATGATGGGATAAAAATGAAGAACTACTCGAAAACAGAATATGAGAGACATTTTTAGAGATCAAAATAAAAACAAGCATTCCAATGTATCCTATCGATAGATCCCTCTCTTCGAGAAGTTGAAGTCTCGGTGTATCTTAAGTAATCAAAATGCGTTCGAGAAGTTGAATACAAACTGTGCTGAAATAATGTTTCTCAGCTCATCATATTGTAGGCGACACCTTGATGGATTTCGAGTAGTTTTCACCTTTCGACCATTCGCCGTACTCAACGTTACCTTTCTGAGGTCTGTTTGAGAATAATGTTTTGAACTGTTCTTTTTCAAGTAGAATCATATGAAAAAAATTCTTTTCACAAAATAGAGATTTCTATAGATATACTTTGAAATCAAACGAGAAGCGAGTAGTGTAGTTCTGTTTTGAGAAATAGTGTTTAACGAAGCATATTCTCATTCCTTCTTTCTTTTATTTATCAAAGTCACAATAAATAAGAAAAAACATGCAATAAAAGAAAAAAAGTCAAATACCTTGATTAAAAATAGAAAACATAAGATGAGAAAGAGTAGTATTCACAGAGAAAGAAAGACTGATTGAAGAATTAGCACGAACGACTCAGTCAGAAAATAAGAAACACAAGTTCTTGTTTGAATTGAGAGATTTTTTTAGATGGATACAATGTCTTTTAAATAGAAAGAATGAACGGAAGAAAGAATCTAACAGACGGGATTTATAGTAGGCGCCCCGAGGTTGAAACATAGACGAATACGTTTGTAGGTCGCTACTCGGGTCAATTGACTATTGTAGCCTGGTCCATTGTTACACTCGAGTTGGCCATTGATGATGCGTGTTGTAGCAGCAAAATCACCTCGTTGAGCTGGTGCAGCCATACCATTTGCCTTATAGAACCAGAGAGCTGCGTTCACCGCTACCTTAGGATCATTTTCTACCATGTCTGGATCTGCGAGAAGATCAAGACCGAGAGATTGACCTGCATTGTAATAGTTACATGGCCATGAGAGCTGAAACCAACCTCGACCATAGTATAATTTTCCCGGTGCAGCGGTGATACTGCACCAAGTACCACTATACTGCGAACCACAACCTAATATTTGAAAGAAAAATGAAATTTCTCAGTCTACACTTTGATTAAAATGTACTAAATATATCCAACTGACAACTTTGTTGATGACAAATAAAACATTATGAAATTTTCGAATACTAATCGCTTTAATTCCATATTTTATTTATTTGTTTTTCTCTAGTACAAATAGGTTTGAGTAAATCAAAGTCCCTATTTATAGAGAAACTAGTCTCATGATATGGTCTCAGAAATCACATTTTTCAATATTGAAAAATATTCCCATCATAGAATACACTTTAAATGTTTTCCTATATTGAATATAGTTTCGAAAAACATACCTGGTGCGCAGTATTCTCGCATTGTCTTGAGTCCATCTGTTTCATGAAATACATGTGCAAGAAAGACAGCAGCTTCGTCGCTGTTGGCTGGTTTCCAACCTGTTGCGAGTAATCCATTGAATCTGGTAGCACGTAATGCAGAGTCAATCGTGTTGAATGCACAGGCAAATTTAGTGCTGTCAATAACACCAGCTGAACCACCTCCACTACCGCCACCGCCACCACTTCCTGAGCATGGACCTGCTTGACAACCTTCACCACAATAATCTGGTCCTGTTCCACAATAGCCCCACTTCGATCG